AAAAAAAAAAAGTTCCACGGAAAAAAATTATTGTTGTGAACCTTGAAAAGCATGGTTATAGTCATAACCACCAAAATAAAGTAAAGAGGACATGTACCATATAAAAACGCGTCCTATTCGCATTGAAGCAGCAACAGTATTGCCACAAGCAGCTGCTGTAACAAAATATGCTTCCTCGTGCTTAACAGACTGCATCTTCCCACGGTAAACATATTCCTTATGCTCACCATCTTCAACAAAATATACGAGTACAGTTCTTCTGTCACAAACAACTACAAAGTCGTCCTGAAAAAAGCATACTTCTAAACTTAGCTGAACCTCTAAGAATCTGTCTACTCCAAAACTTACAGTAATTGCAATTTGGCGAGTATTAAGAACTTTGAGATTCCCAGAAAAAAATATTCGCGTATCCTCACTGTTACGCACAGTCATTTGGAGAGTGTCCATATTCCCGCAGACGATCTAAACGTTTCAGAAAAACATTAAGCCCCAAGATTGTGAAGCAACTTTTTTTGCTTTGAATTTTTCCGATACTAATTTAATATACACAAATAGTTTCTCGCTGAAAACGTGCAACAAAAGTTATTAGATAGCAGCAAAAAAAAAAAAAAAACCAGTGAATCCATTCACAATTCACCGCGGAAAAGTACCGTTTTCAAAATTTGAGAGGAAGTGAAAATAAAAAATTAAAGTAATATTCTACTAACAATCTTTGAGGCATCAGAACAATACCGGAACTTTAACACACGTAGATTTTTTAGTTTGATTTTATCAACAGACATAACAGTTCCTTCTTCCGTATTCCATGCTGAACAAAAACCAGTTTCGGTAATAGTTATGAGCTGAAAATAAATCAGATTTTATTATTACAATATCTGAAGCGAAATAAAAAGAGCTAAAACGAGATCATAGAAGTGCAAAAATTATTATCACATTGAACAGACCTTTTTCGGTGCCTCAAAATGAAGCCCCACTATTGAATGATCTCTGTTGCTATTCGTAGAATGGGTTAATATGTGCTCCCACTTTCCAGTCGAAACATTTACTACGATTACTGCGCTGCCGGATGCAATAAATGCTTTACTAGAAATAGAACAGTTAAAGAAGACACAGCTTCATCAACTGTGCGTGAAACTTGATCCTAACTTCCTGAATCCTTACATTTATTTAAATGTCAAGTAAAAAATTCGGCACAGAAGCGTTGTCAACAAACGAACGAAATTAGTGGCTACGCCAAAGAGTAAATTTTTTGAATGACTCAAAAGGAACTACTATATACTAAGCTCTGAAATATTAACAATTACCATTGGAGCAGCGTTCGAGTTTTCAGAAACTGTCACTAATGTTTTAACTAAAACTGCTTCCAAAAAGTTACAAAGATTTCGTCTTAGTTTAAAATATAACTTTTAGCTGAAGATGACTTTAAGGGAGCTTAATCTTCATACAAGTATATATAGAAATCACTTAAAAAGGCATATTATATTAAGCATACGTGTTGTCATCGTTGAATATTACTGGTGTTACCACCAATCTTGCACCAACCAATGGCCGTATACAAAAATCTTTAAAAGCGTTACCAACTTTGTCAATCATTGCTTCCTGTAAAGTATTAAATTGTAAGAATCAAAATACAGACTGAAAAAATGAATTATTAATTCCCGTATTAGTAACACAAAGTAATGTCATTTCGACTGTCATTTGCCATTAGACATCAACGATTAAGCGGTATTTTAAACATATAAATTTCGATTAAACCGTGCGCCAAAATTGATGAATGTTTTGTTCTTCAGTAGCATTCATCAGCAACGGTTTTGTATCTTTTTTAAGGCAAATATTTAATGAGAAACTGAAGTCAAGCTGCTGTGTGCTACACATCAGTGATGAGATGAAGCGGCAGTTCAACGGCACTTCCAACTATATACTTTCAGAGTATATTACGTGAATACGGAGAATATATATTATATAAAAGCTTCAATCTCGACTAAAAAGTGAGCGGGGAAATAATATTAGACTGTCATTATACGTGAACCCGGAGAATATATCTTATATAAAAGCTTCAATCTCGACTAAAAAAAGAGCGGGGAAATAATATTACTGTCATTATCTAAAATTTCAAAAGCGCTCCCCTCGCAACTCTCTGTAGCCTAGTCGACATATCGTTCTCTCCCAGCCTCCTGTTAATAAACTTAATTTCTTCAAGAATTCCTCCATCGGACCGTCGCGGCGGAATACATTCGTGTATTTTAAACCTTATAAACTGCAGTGAGTATTACTGTAAGATTTCACTGTAATGAGAACAGATAGAAAGATCCCAGAAAAAGAAGTGCGCACGGATAACGCTGAAACTGAACGGTAATATCGACGTTACGTCAGAGCGATAAATAAGGTTTAAACACTTGATTTTGAGGTAAACTCGAGGTGGCCTTGCTCCTCAAATAGTTTGATGCTGCCGAAGCTAATTTCTCAAATCCAGAAATGATTTAAGAACATGGGTTTCGAACCACCTGGCAAGATGCCAGCGGCAGTTGTATAAACCGCACTGTGTATAAAAACCTTGAACACCTTGACTTTGAGTAGTTGCCGTTACTGTCCTTCTTTTTCTTCTTGCATTGTTTGCCATTTTGACTTCGAAGAAAAACCAGTTCGGGGTTTTGAGTAGGGTAATCTGATTTAGACTCCAGAACTTATGTAGACAAAAAGTTCTGATGACTTTGAACAGCGTATTCGCTGCACTTTTTATTTTCGTTGCGCTTGCTTTTAGTGTTTCTTGTGTTTTTTTTTCTTTTGGAGGCTTATTGAGGTTATTAATCGTTTGCTTCGCACAAAAACTGATGCGTAGTGGGACTGTCTTCTCAGAAAACTGTGTTACTAAAAGGGATAAAAGGTTTTTTCTGCTTTCACTTTGCTCCCTCTTACGTATATGAAAATCGAAATTTAGAAAGAACCTCCAGTTTTTATCCGAACATAAAAGTGGAACTTGGAAATGCTCTTTTTAATCTTGATGTATAGTACTTGTGGAAGCAGTCTACGTGATACTGTTTACTCTAATATCATTCTGTCGTTAGCTTATCGACAGTATTTCTTGAATTGCAACGTTTGGCGTATTTAGTTTGCTTGTCCACTATTCTTGATTTGGTTTTGGATTTGCAACCGGAGCTTTCGTTTGATGAATCTGGAGCTGGGATCATAACAAAGACCCACCTTGCTAAGGCCAATGCGGCTTCTATTTGTAAGTGAGGGAGGTCTGTTGCATAGAAGAGTAGCATTTTTTGTTGGTGCAGCAGTCGTTCGGTAATTGGCGGTTTATTATTACGTTCTTAACTACTGCTATTAGGCAGGTTCTATTTTATCATGGTGCCTCTGTTGGAAATCTGGAAGATTGGGTCTGGATGACTGAAAAATGAGCTCATACTTAGTGACACGGATCATATTGGTTTGGGAGTGACGTTAGGAACAACCGCTGAAAGATTTTAGAAATTTGCTTTTGAAAAAAGTAAATAAAAAGAAATGCGACAAACTGATCGGTCGAGGGTCGTTAACGGTAAAATTAGTTTGCTGTTAGGTATATTAAAAAAAAATTAAAGTTTTCTTATTATTTTCTTATTGATTAAACGATACTGTAAGTCAGATGGAGTTTTTAAGATGACAGTAGGAAGTAGGCGAAATTTTTATCACTTTCGTACCTGGTTGTAATGTTAGTGATAGCATTAGGAAGAATTGAGTGCTTAATTTACAAGTGTGTGTATAGTGCACATACTGCGGACAGTTCCGTAGTCGAGTGGCATCTTCTGTGAAACCATCAACTGTTAGGCACAAAAGGAACATTAAACCGAAATTGCCATTTCTGGCCCAACATTAATGACTTGAATCTGTCGTAAAGTACAACGTTAGCTGTTGATATGCAGCCATTAGAGCAATGAAGTGATGGCTGTGACTTGATCTGCCTCCTCTGGAAAATAAGTTTTTGGATGAAGTTAGTTGTAAAAGATTTTACTGGTTCTAGGTTTTTCTCCGCTAAGAATAGAGGCAGTTTTTGGTTGTCGATGGGAAAAAAAAGTTAGAATTTGAAAGTATTGCTTAAAAAGTGGAATGTAGATTAATCCTGAAGAAAGTGCAAATAACTTAGAAGCTATACTAATAGTATTTATATCTTGTAATTTTAGAAACATTTCATTTCTGCACTTAATATACAAAGCTAGCATTGAAGTATCTCTCTAAGATAATAAAAACAAATTTATACAATAGCCAGTAAGCAAGAATTTGTTCTACTTCCAAAATTTATTTTTGGGGTGTGTACAAGTTACATAGGGGGACATTACTTGTCTTATCCTCATAATCACTTTCTTTTTTAAATATTCTTTTTTTTTTTTCGCATTTGTATTGACTATATTTCTCTTTTAAATCGTTTTTACTGATTTGTTCAAACACAGAATTGGTGTGCAGCCTATCTTGAAGGGTAGGCAGACAGGCTGCACACTGGTGTTTAAAAAAACAGGTATCTTTATTTGTTTTCACAAATATATAATGAGTCTTACAAAATAATGACCAGCAAGAGGAGAAAAAATCTTTTAAGATTTTCTTGAACGTCGGCAGATTTTTAGGTCTTCCACGCACACAGTTTTTCTAGAACTACTCCGTTGACTTTTGCATGAAGTTATTCACTGACCACACAGATAAAAGATGAAGATTGACTTGATTGATGCTGCCGCTTTTTCATCTTTATAACCAACGGATACCGAATTATTTGTTTTATTGAGAAGAACTTTTATCAAGCTGTCAAGATAATTTAGTAGCTTTTAAGATTTGTATGGATCTTCTTTAATCAAAAACCGAAAAATAATGACGTCAGAACTCTATATACCAGGTTAAAAACTGATAATACGCCAGGAGCAACGAAGTAACAAAAATTTATACGTGGATGGAAAAAAATCAATGTTGCTTTAAAACTACTTCACTATTTTAGAAGCAGCAAAAATCAAGCAGTTTTTCACAACCGTAATTGCAACCCTCACTTTTTAAAATTATCTTTACTGATTAATCCGGAAGCAAAGTATTTGAAATTACCACACTTTGTCTTACCTTCAGTTTTTGAGACGTGGTGCTCGTGAAAAAAGCTAATTTTATGAGTTCCTTGTAAATATCGCTGCTGAGGAGATTACTCAAATGATGTTTCGATAAACAAGAATAGTTGGTTACAAAGAAGAAAAAAAAGTATCTGAAATGGAAAATTGAATCGCACTTCATTCCCCTTTACTCCCTTTCCTTTTTGCAAAGAAAAGAAAATAGAAAGATGAAACGCTACTGCTTAGTTTTCAAGTATTACCTGTTCACGCTTATCAACTATCAAGAAGTTGAAAATGCTCAGCAAAATAAGTTCTTTTATGAAAAATACAGGTGTCGGAAATTTTTCTAGTAAGTGAGACAGTTGAAAATGCTTCTGTTCTTTTAAATTTTCGTCTGTCACTTTTCCCATTGCAACTTCTTCATTGAGACAGAATTCTCAAAAGCGGGCATGTCTACGATTTCATTTTTATTAACCCGACTAATGGAGGTCAAATAAAATGCTAGCAATTGTTAAGACAGTATAGTTCATTAATTCTTCTCATCCGGCAAGAAAAGGACTGAATTAGAAACTGAAAGCTAGTCACAGTTACAGTATATCTTTCAGGACTGATGACAGTTGATCAAAGTAAGCCTAAAAAAATTGTCATAAGTTCATGCTTTGCGAATCTGCAACTTTAAAAAAAATCGGAAGTTAAAATTTTTGAAGCGAAATTTGAAGTTGTATACCGAGTACAGATCTATTGCCTGTTGGATGCTTTTAAGGTGTATTAGTTCGCGAATTGAATGCATAGCAAGCTGAGGACATCCAACGTCCGCTGCTTGTATACCTAGTTTACATGACAATACCGGTCCAGCTCCTACCTTGCGAGTCGTGTCATTTCGAATGACTATTTTCTATATCCAATTTGTTAAAGAAATATCAAACAAAGTACTAAATAGGTATTAATTCCAAGCTGCTCCCTACTTGGAGAGGCTCTTCAACTGCAGCTGCTATACACCTCAATACTGCACTGGTGATGGAATTTGTAGCATATCGCTGATTAACATCTATTTTCACAACAATACCACCGTCAAGAGAAGGTTTGTGATTTTCCTGAAAAAGAATTGCATCAAACACTAGAGACAGATCGGGGAATTTGAAATAAAGCTGTCACGTACTGAAAACTGTACAGTTCATTTAAACGAAGTACAGCTTATTATCTCGCCTAGCACCGCATTCAACTGTAAAACATTTGGCTCATGCAACAGAGTTTTATATTCCGCCATTTGTGGAAGTATTTGAACGAGTAAGGATAAGCATTTCACTGAAATGCCATTAGTGGATTTAAATGACCTCATGTGCGCTTCCGTAGTTAGGATGAACAGCATCGGTGTTATCTACGCTAAGCAGGTATGACTTAGGTATCGCTTCTTCAAAGCTGTTTTTCGGATTGGATCCAGATAACCTCCGCATAATCCATTCACAAAGTGATGATCCCGGTCCATGCGCTGCACGGTACTCGGCCTAAATTAACCTTTCGACAAACAAGGAAGAAGATTTACGTAAAGACAAGCACATGGGAATCAGTGTAACTGCATAAACGATAAATGCGGCACCTCTCCGCAGTCGAAGCATACAGCAAGGCGGATATTTTCCTCTTCAGCTAGGTCGTCAATTCGGAAACTCTTCAACAGTCCGTAAATTGTGGTGTAAGCTCCTACTAAACCGCATAATCTTTGAGAGCTCAGGAATTCTTTATGAACACCACCTATTGCCTTCAAAATAAGAAAAAGTAGGATTCCATTACGGAAAATGAAGGGAAATTTGATGAATAATAAAACTGCTGTTGATTTCTGCAAAAAGCCCCAGTCTTTTTTTCCTAACAGCCGTCTAACAGTAAATCTTTACTCCTAACAGTAAATTAGAAAATTAAAACATATGACGATGTATAACACTCAATGTGTAACCTTCTCGCTAACTTAGAGTAAAGCTAACAAGTAAAATGACAAAAATTTTTTGAGAGAAGGATAATGCTTACAGCTTGATGAGTGTCATAAAGGTATAGATCAAAGTCGATAATAGCCGAAGGATCAGAACAGGCTTCTTTACAAATTAAGTTCAGTAACGACAAGTGACTTTCTTCTGGCAAGCTGTTTACTTTCTGCAGTAGTTTATATTCCTCACTATTTTCCTCACTATCACTGCTCTGCAAGAAGGTTTTACTAGAAATATGAAATTATACCCGGATTTTTTATAATATCGCTAACTTCAGGCATAATTTAAAAAAAGTAGGCTTTGAATAATCACTGCTGCAATAAAAGTGATAGAAATCTAATTTAAAATACTCATACTTTGAAATCTTTATTTAACTCCTTTTCAGCTAATGTCGCTAAAATTGGCCTTAGTTCGTTTTCATAATTACACTCAAATTTATTCCTTTTTGGGTCTAAATGAATGGCCAAACTTGGAATATACATAACTGGCTGATGAACGTTTATCAATCTACGCTCCATTACACCTTTCTGAAAATCAAAATATATAAATGATCCAGTAGCCCAGTTTTCTTTATAAATTCACAAAAAGTATTTTTCTGCAAATGACACATCTTTTCTTTAATTATTATTCTCGACTTTTTTAATTAAGTTAGGTGTAAAACACTGATAGCTACCTAGTTATTGAAACGTGCAAGGCATTTTGTGCTTGTGTGTGTGTTTATAGATGAGCATTTAAAAAGTGTGCATGTTATGCGCTACCGTCGGTACGACAGCTTGCAGTACATAATGCACGTCATCAAGGTGATGTGTATTCCCATATCAAATCGAAACGCACTTGAAAGAAAATTGTTCTGCCAAAAATGGAGTGACTTAAGAAGAGACACTTACTTTTAAAAATACAACCTGTCCAGCCAAACTAAGTTCTCTGTCAAACCATGTGTGCCAGATCCCATCACCGCAGGTAGCAACTCCAAGCTAGAACGACAAGATACTATATGTATATATGAACCCTTATGCCAGTTAGCACCCTTTATAAATTTTTTTCCTCCAATTTTGTCCTCTTGAAGTTGCATAATTTCCCAGGTGCTTGTATTTCTCAAAATCTCTATATTTTTAAACCTTGTGTTTCTGTCTACTCTCATTCGAATTTAGTGATTTTCAACTTATTTAATTCTTTACGACCTCTACTTTTTTGAGAATTTATTGCATTATCCAATTTCTTCAAATGGCTGAATAAACGTAAGAAAAAGAATGCTTCAAAAACTTTCAAAAAAAGTCATCTCAAATTAAAGGAACTTTTTTGCTTTACTTAACATAGAGATTTAGTGTTTGTCACCTGGCGAATTTAGGAGTTGTGCGCTGAAAAGCGAAGCAAGCGAGATCAAAATTAACTACTGTCACAGCAAATGCATGCATTTTGTAAAGACAAAATTATCACAGAGTGTTTCTAAAACCCATGACGAACTGTTGTCACTATTCAGTTAGTGGCTTGTTTTTTACGAAAATATCCGCAGACTGTTATAGTATAGTTGCGAAGAATTCTCAATTTTAGCGCCTGAGATGCTAAATTAAGGTTATCTGAGGCGTCTCGCAGGACCACATAATCTGCGCTTTGGTTCTTCAAAGAAATGTAAGTTAAAGTCATTTTTTTTTTGCATATCTTTCTCTCTACAGTTTTTCGACACAACAGGTTCTAGTAGATTTAGAAAAAATCTCTACATCTGAATCGCTGGAACGACAAGTTACTTGGTTCTTTCAAATATTGATACTTAGTTGTAACGGCACTGCGCTGTCTTTGTACCAAAGCCCAGCAGTGCTGTTAAAACTAAGTATCACTCGTTCTGTTAATCAAATAAGTAAAGAAGTGAAATTTATCATGTCTAAAGTTAAAAAAAGTTATATCAAGAGCAGCAACCTGGTAAATTCTACAACTATGACAGAACGCAACGGGGCAGAAAAGTTACTCTTCCACGTTCTCTTTTTGCTTTTTATATTCCGGCCTCAACTGCAATCAGTAAGAAAATTTCAAAAATTTTGAGATGTCGAGTAGAAGATGTTGCTATCCGTAAATAAACAAGTAAAAATATATACATAAAAACAAACAAATAAGTATAAATACATAAATAAATAGTTAGTATGCGTCAGATCAACCGCTTTTTTCAGATTGTTTTTTAATCTTGATAAATAAGTTAACTTAAGCCGACAATAAAAAACTCAAAAATTACTTCCCTAGTCTCTCAAGTTGAGAAATAGAAACCCCAATGTTTTGAAAAAGCTCATTTTTTGAGAAGAATGGCTTTTCCAAATGAATGTGCCTTCCGTATTTTATATTAAAAAATTTATTTTCTTGAGCAGTTTAAAGAATATGACTTCTACTTTGCACGAGCGTTAACGTTCAAATTTTTCCTTGCTGACTGCAAC